TTTGCCTCTCTCCCCACATCCCCCCATCTGGATAGACAGGCAGGAAAACATTTACCAGTTCCAATTATTCTTTTGTTTCAAAGCCTGAAACTTTTTCAGCCACATCATGTTCCTGCCAGAGTCTGAAAATTAATAGGCTTTTTAGAGAAGCCGAGGGTTGAGTGGAGTCACTTTGAGAACGGCATGCATCTGGATGCCTGATTTTTCAGGTGTTGCTCTGAGACTGAATTCAGAAACCTTCTTCTTGGGGAGTTTTGGCCCTCTTGATTTCTAATTTCTGTGATTGAGTTAGAGTTGTGGGAATATCATGAGTTGCTAATTTTTTAAAAAAATAATTTTCTTCCCTTTGTAAAAGTAATTCACACTAATTGTAGAAACCTGGAGAAATACCAAAAAGCATAATGCTGAAAATTACCTAGTACTCAGAGATAATCACTACAATCCATTTTGTCGTATTTGCATGCATTTTTGTACGCATAATTAAGGTCGTTGTGTATAAATTTCGATTTCTACTTTTCCTATTTCACACAAGAATATTTTCTCTTGCACTGACAGCAATGCAGCATAGGTGCTTATGTTAGTTACTGGGGGCTGCTGTAACAAATTTCCACACATGGGGAGGCTTAAAACAACAGAAACTGATTTTCTCACCGTTCTGGAGACCAGAAGTTCCAATCAAGGTAGAGGCCCAGCTGTGCTTTCTCTGGAGGCTCTAGGGAGAAGCCACTCCTTGTCCCCCACTAGCTTCCAGTGGCTGCTAGCCTTCCTTGGCATGTGGCCTCATCTCTCCCAAATCTGCCTCTGTTCTTAAGAGCGTGTGCACGTGTGCGTGTGTGTGTGTGTGTGTGTGTGTGTGTGTGTGTGTGTGTGTGTGAGATCTCTGCCTCTCTCATGAGGACACATGTGAGGCCTCTAGGGTACACCCAGATAATCAAGGATATCTCTTCATCTTAAAATTTTTATCTTTTTTTTAAGTTTTGTTTAAGATTTATTTATTTATTTATTTGAGAGAGCATGCTCTTGTGCGGCAGAGAAGGGCAGAGAATCTTAAGCCGACTCTGCGCTGAGCATGGAGCCTCCTGCGGGCCTTGATCTGACCTCTGTGAGATTATGACCTGAGCTGAAACCAAGAGTCGGATGCTTAGCTAACTGCACCACTCAGGCACTCTAAAGATGCTTATCTTAGTCACATCTGCAGAGACCCATTTTCTGTATAAGGTAACATGGACAGGTCTCAGGGTTGGGTCATGATGTCTTTGGGGCCAATTTTTAGCCTGCCACAGGACTGAAGAGCGTAGAATTTGGAGCCAGACTGGGTGGGCTCAAACTCCAGTGCTGTCTCCTACTAGCAGGATGACTTTGGGCAAGTGTCCTAACTCTTGCTGCCTCCATTTTCTGATCTGTAAAGTGGGAATAATAAGCTTAGGATAGTGCCTGGCCCATGTAAGGATTAGCTGTTATTTTGTAATTGTTATTCTCATTAAAAATCCTTTGTAAAATGTCATTATAATGGTTGCATAAAACCGTATTTGTGAATATACCATAATTTATTGCATCATTTCCTTTTGTTGGCTTTTAAGTTTATTTCCAGTTTTTTATCTCATGGATAACACTGCTGTGGATACCTTTGAGCATTAAGTTTTGTCCCCACTTATGATTCATTCTCTAATATCGGGTTCTGAAAATGGAATTACAGTGTCAAAGGGTATGTATGATGTAAGCTACTTAATAAGAATTTGCCAAATTGCTTTCCAGAAAGATTGTGCCTGTTATATAACTCCTACTAGTAGTAGCTGAATGATGAGAGTGTCCGTTTTACTGTGGCCATACCTGCATCGAGTGTTACTATTTTAAACATTCTTAGCTACTTTTGACATCATCTGCCCTTTAAGGCTGACATGTAACATAGCAAAATGACTCAACATAGTGATTCCTTTGGCAAGGTGTATTCTCACAAGGCAAGAAAATTTTAAATGAAATGATATCCTTGATTTGTCCAGTCTCCAAGTGCTTTCTCCATTTTGTTATGAAGCCTGAGTGTTTTTGAGGTTACAGGGAGGCATACTGGAGAGAGGACATGTGAGTGGCAGGACAGTGCTAGGTATACAAGGATTTTAGTAAAACAGTCTTATTTCTGTTCTCAAACTCAGATGTTGAAAACTCTGAGCATTGAAAACTCTGAAAACACTTGAACAGAAAACAGATCAATTTAACTACTTTACAACTAAGGCTGCTTGAGGGATAGAAGGATGGGGTGAGGGGGGACAGCGCCTCCATTGCCTGCCAAAGAAGGTGGGAGACCAGCTTGGGACAGGCCGAGGGAAAGTCTGCACCTGTTCTTTGTACCCCTACCACCTGTTAACCTTTCCTGGGGGGTGCCCATTGCAGTCTGATCTTGTCCAGCCCAGGCTCCAGGGCTGCAGAGGTAGAACAGGGATCCTAGCTGTGTGAAAGAGAGGGTAGTGGTCTTTTTCCCCCAAGTGGTGCTCTGATATGGATGTACAGTGCATACCAGGTACAACTGATCACACAAAAATTGGGCAATATCCATATCAGTTATTGTGGGCTAAATGGTTGCCCCAAAGACATGTCCCAATAATGTTACCTTATTTAGAGAAAGGGTCTTTTAGATGTGATTAAGATAAGGATTTTGATGTGAGATCATCTTGGATTATCCAGGTGAGCCTTCGGTGCCATCACAAGTGTCCTTAGAGAGGAAGAGGGAGATGTCACACGCACAGAGAAGGCAGTGAAGTGGAGGAGAGATGTGACCATAAGCCAAGGAGTGCCAATAGCTGGAAAAGGCAAGGCGCGCCTTCTCCAGAGCCTCTGCAGGGATCATGGCCCCTGCCTACACTATGATTTCAGGCCTCTGGACCCGAGAACTGTGAGAGAATAGATTTGTGTTGTTTTGTGCCACGTAGCTTGTGATAATTTGTTATGGAAGCTACAGGAAACTCACATATGCTTTGTTGGACAAGACTGTTCTGCTGATCACGTGCATGCTGGGCTGTGTGGCAATCTTATATGCTATAACAGCTTCTCAGTTTCTCTTAATTTCTGTGCTTATCTTGTTGTGAACCAGCAGTGAAGAGTTGGGTGGATGACCACCTTTGAGTACCAGTGGTCTAGTCTCCCTTGTTTTATGGATGAGGAGACCGAGGCCCAGAGAGGAGGCAGTAGGACTGAGGTTAGAGCAGGTGCCTCTGCTGCTCAGAGTGGAGAGACTGGAGGTGGTACCAGCCTCTTGGGGGCCAGGCCTGGAGTGAGCAGACTGGAGCGCTGCCCTTCAGCCTGTCCTGCAGGTCAGCAGGTGTCCCTGGGGCTATTCTCTGACCTGCTGAGTGAAAGCCCGTGGAGCACAGGGCTGCTTAGAAGGCCCAGAAGCCAGGGGACTCTTATAAAGCCTGATAGCCAACAGCAGCAGGCAAGGGATCCTGTCAAGGCTGAAGGTCCTGGCTTGCTCTTGACTTCATTTCCAGCTGACTGCTTCGGTCTCTGTGGTTTGGGTCATACTTTCCCTCTGTAGCCCAATTTTACCTTTCTACATTTTCTGAGTGGTAATGAACTCTTAGAGAATATGGCATTCGATGACAATCATCTTGACTCTTATGCTGCTGGAATAAAGCCCATCCAGCTTCACTCGGCATTTGGGGCTCCTGAGGAACCTTCCCCTTTCCATCCCTGCCTCTTGCCCCTCCCTTTCACACACCTTTATCTCTGAACTTCACCAAAATCATTGCTGCCTGGTAGGGGGGCTTGAAGAGGTTAGTTTCATGAAGCCCTACAGTGGGTGAGTTCATGGTTGACCAACTCAAGAACCAATGGAAAAATATGGCAAGAGGATGGTAGGCATACATCGCTGAAGCTCTCAGGAAAAAAAAAGTGTACATTTACTAAAATAGACCACAAGCAGCACAAACAGCCTTGTCAGTCACTAGTATGTCAGCTAAGTCATCTGGTCTACCACCCAGGCCAAGATGAGCCACCAGATGACTGTAGCCACATATGTTAACCAGGCAAGACCAGAGAAAAACCACCTGGCTGAGCCCAGCACTAATTGTTGACCCACCAAACCATGAATAAATAAAATGTTTATTGTTTTAGACAGAAAAAAACCCCCACAGTAAATCAGTCTTCAAATTATTACACTTCTTATTATACTGGAGATGGGCAGTATATAGTTAATTATTCCCTGTTTGCTATAGATACTTTTCAGAGTCTCCTACCTTTGTATTTTCAATGAAATTCTTATTTGCTTTGTTTTGTTATGGATGATGCCCGTATGAAGAGCCCCTTCCCCCCAATATCTGGGCCTCCATCTTAATGTCTAATACTGTTGGGATTTTAGGAATTACCTGTTGGGTCTACCCTCTGGGTCTCACACATGCCTCCTATCCTTCTCTCTCAGCTGTTATGGGACAGTCGTTGAGAGGCCCCGGGTCACTTTCTCCCATCTTCTTTTATTTTTCCCAAGGCTTTGTTCCAGAAGCCTCTCTTTCTTCACCCTCTACTTCTGCTCTTTTTCTAGTCCCAACCCTGGATCTCTTATTAAGTCAGTGACTCTTGGTTGCAAGGAACCACAGTGCTCTTGGGCCAGCTCACTTAGCAGAGGGTTTGTTGTAGGAATCTCAGGAATGCAGGGAGCAAAGCTTGACCAGTCTACTGGGAAGTGGAGTGGGAAGGCCCCTTAATTCAGCGATTGTACAGTGCATGGTCCTGCTCACCTCCTCTGTGTGTGTGTGTGTGTGTGTGTGTGTGTGTGTGTGTGTGTTTCTCTGAATAAGAGCCCACCGCTGCTTGCCTAAGTTTGCCCGTCTTCATCCTCAAATGAGGGAGGTTCGGAGGGAGGCACTGTCCATCTCCAAGCTAACCAGTTTGGGGAGGGAAGCCATGGGACTGCCCGCTCAGTATGGACTGGGGGGAGTGTCCCCAAAAAAGGGGTCTGGGGAGGGGTAGTTCCCCAAAACCTATTACACCTTATTCTGATTTCTCAACAGGAGTAACTCAAGTCACCTTTACTGGAAATCAGTTGGCTGAAGTACTGAAACTGCAGTTCTTGAAGTTGAAGAAAAGGTAAATGGAAGTAAATTTGTACCTATTAAAATTTCTTCAAAGGGAAGCCAGTGTTTGAGGTGAGATTACTGTTTCCGGCATTCCTCAAACATGCCCAGTCCTGTATGTACTCTTTTCCCCTCCTCTCTGCCTGGCCAGGTTCCTGTAGATCCCTGAAGGTCTTTACTTCCCTGGAAATGAAGCCTTTTATATATTTGTTTTTTAAAGATTTAATTTATTTAGAGAGTGTGAGGGGTGGGAGGCAGAGGTAGGATGACTCCCCGCTGAGTGAGGAGCCAGACCCAGGGCTTGGCTCCATCTCATGACCCTGAGACTGTTGCAGGGTTCTTGTCTCACGGGCAAAAGGGTGAAGTGAAGTGAAAGTTGATTAAGTGAAGGTGAGAACAGAAAGGAAAGGAAAGGAGCTCTCTAGAGTGAGAGGGGTCCCAAACGGGTTGCCACTGAGGGCTTTTATGGTGGGTCTTTTAGAGAAAACTGACAAGGGAACTTGGTAAATATTTTGTCTAAAACATTTAAGACAAACAAGGTAGATTTGTAAATATTAGGAAAATATCTCGTCTATATTTAGAACAAACAAGGCAGATTTGTTAATGTTCCCTTCTCTCTGGTTAATATCTTGTCTATAATATTTCTCCACATCTGGGATTTCTGTGAGCCTGGTCACATGGCCCTCTACCTGTCTGTCCCTCCCTTGCCTTGCCCATCCCTTACTTAAGACCATGGCTTGAGCCAAAATCAAGAGTTGGAAGCTTCACCGACTGAGCCACCCAGATGTCCTGGAAATCCAGCCTTTTTATTCCCTCCTGGCCGATAGTGACTTTTCCTGCTTTGGAAGCCCTGTAATACTATCTCCTTCTCACTGACATGTATCGTAATGAGCTTGACATGATGCCCCACCCCCAGTCGTTCTTCTGCCAAGGCTCCTTCTCTGTGAACCTTCCCCCATCACCATCATGGTATTTCCACACTTGATTGTAGTTGCCTGTTTACATGTTTTCCGTAATAAGCTCCTCTAGGGCGTATCTGAATGTGCCTGGATGCTCCATAAACATGTATTGGATGAACAGAGCATCAGTCTTCCCCACTAGACAGTCAGCTCCTGTATGAGTTCACTTTGTCCTTCTAGCACTCTGCCATTTACTATCATTCTCAAATCGATTCTGGTCTTTAAGCATTCATCAGAAATTGCCAATCTCTGTCCTTTATATTTGGGCTGTTGGTGAAATGAAGCTAATAGCAAGGCTTTTCTATCTGACTTTTATTTTTTTATGGGCAATATGGGCCCATGTTAAGAGCAATAATCCAGCAACTGAAAGGGAAGGGAGGTGACAGGCAAGTCAGAACAGCAGTGACTGGGAGCGTGGCCTCCCCGTGGCTGGAGTTGAATGGGGGTTGTGGGAGGTGGGGTTTTGGTCACACTGTGGTTGTGGCCCCTCCTGTCTGCTGGACGGCAGACCCCCTTCTCCATCCATCTGCATGATCTTTTGAGCTGCTCCAGTCAATAGACCCCTGCATCTTCATCCACCTCCCTACTCCAAACCTTTTTGCTTTTGAGAAAAGGTTCCTTTTCTCAAACTGTGTACTGCACTGCTAAATATCCCAAAGAAGTTTCTTACTGATCTTCCCAGTTTCGTTGGTCACCATCCACTGAGAGTCCTTGTTGTAACCTTTCCTACCTCCCAGTAACCAGTAGGTGTCTCTTACCTTTGCATTTTGTCCACCTTTGCAGGATGCTTCTACACACATCACCAGCTTGTGTTCATTCTCCTGCCAATCCTAGAAAACAGGCAGTCAGGCTCAGAGCAATTAGATGTCTTACTTGAGGTCGTGTCACCAGCGTGAATGGAGTTCAGCTTTTTTCTCCCCCACACCATCTTGGTCCTTCTCCTTGGAAGCCACTGCTGCCATCACAAAACCTGGGGCCCTGTTTCCTACCCACCCCCTATGTTCCCTCCAGAGAGAGGACCCTTGACCTTAACCTTCTGTTAAGAGATGCAGCCTGGGGGCACTTGGGTGGCTCAGTCGGTTAAGCATCTGCCTTCAGCTCAGGTCATGATCTCAGGGACCTGGTGATAAGGGAAATCTGTGTTCTAAGGGAGCCAACCAAGCCGCAAGGGAATCCCAGTCCCAGCCCCAGGGCCGTTCTGGGTTTTCCCTCCTGCCCCGCCTGCCGCCCTGCAGTGAAAGTGCCACATATATGGAAATAAAAGTGTATAAATTATCCCCTTTGTTTGTGCTGGGGCCTCAGACCTTTGGAGACCACTCTCCTCTGAGCCCACTGGCATTAAATTAACCTCCTATCCTCCAAGATCTCCGACTACCAGTTGTCGGGCCATCCAGTCCAGATTCCGTAACATTTGGTTCCCCAACCGGGAAACCCAGCCCTGCTGGCCCATTGTTGCCACCGGTTTGGGGGCATCGGTGGCAGTGACAGAACGAGGGACCAGATAGTAAGGGAGAAGGCATGCCCTGCCTAATTTTCAGCCATCTCCCGCCCTGGTCGCCTCGGGCTGGCCCCATTCCACTGTTCCCGCCAGACTCGAGACTTGGCAGGTGAGGACCTGGTCCCGACGTCAGATTCTAGTAAGGCTTGGGGCCCCAGGACCCAGACAGGCCCATCCGCATTGGGGTGGAAGGGGAGCCTGATCACTTCCAGAGACCTCTTAGAGGTCTCACAGGTAGAGATTCCCAGGGAGGGAATGTAATAACTTCTGGAGTGTGAATATGTGAGTGAATGTGCAGTCTGACCTGGCTTGCTCAAGTGGACTGATTCTGTGATTCCACGGGCGGGCACCCTTAAGGTCCCCAGAAGCCTACGGAGTCTGAGTGGGCCCATCTGTGATTCTGTGGTGAACGCCATACAGTCTATAGCGGCATCAAAATAGTTTCCAATCATAAGTCACAACGCTGAGACCGCTATGGCTAAACCTCACCTAAGCTCCTTCAGGACACGGCCAGATGGGCATCTGATTGGTCTCCTCATCATGGGAGGCACCCCCCGCCCCTTGTCTGTCTCTGCGTCACTGCACATGGGAACATCACCATGGGGTCAGGGCAGAGTAAACACTGTGGTTCTAGAGACCATGATCAAAAATTTCAAGAAGGGGTTTTCGGGAGACTGTGGAGTCAGGATAAACCCCGGCAAATTGAGAACCCTATGTGAATTGGAATGGCCCACCTTTAATGTCGGGTGGCCTTCAGAAGGGACATTGGATGTCCCAACAATTCATCGAGTATGGCGAGTCATAACAGGAGAACGAGGACACCCTGACCGGTTTCCGTACATTGACTCCTGGCTAGGAATTGCCCAGACCCTTCCCCCCTGGGTGTGATTCACTTGCAATAGGCAGGGACAGGCCAAGGTCTTAATTGCCTCATCTAAGCGACCTAAGGAAGATCAGCAAAAGCCCCAGTCTTCACAAATCCTAGCCGGAAATCCCAAGGACGAACCGATCCTGCCCCGACCGTACACACCCCCAAGACCATCTATACCTGGCCCTTCAGCTCCAGGCACTCCGCCGCCGGCAGTTTCACTGGTGCTCTCAGGCCCAGAGGATCCACCGGCGCCCCCAGGCCCAAAGGATCCACTTTCTCCAGGACCAGCAGCCAGGCTGCGCCCCAGGCCGGGCTCAAGTGCCCCCCAAATGCTGGTATGAGAGACGCGGGAACCCAAGAGGCACGATGAAGATGGGACGGTCCAACCCGGCCATTCCATGATGTATTATCAGCCCTTCTCCACCACCAACCTCCTCAAGTGGAAACATAACACTCCATCCTACTCTGAAAAACCACAGGCCATGGTAGACCTCATGGAATCCCTCTTCCAGACTCATCGTCCAACCTGGGAAAGCTGCCAGCAGTTACTCCACAACCTGTTTAACACAGAAGAGATGAGAATAATGAGAGGAACACGGCAGTACCTGGAAGAGCACGCACCAGCGGGAGTCACCGACCCTGCTGCCTGGGCTAATACGGCCGCACCCAAGGAGCGCCCAGCAGGGGACTTCACCACGGATGAGGGACAGGTCCACGTCTGCCGATACCAGGAGGCCCTTCTCCAGGGAATCCGGGCAGGAGCTAAGAAACCCATGAACATGACTAAAGTATCTTCGGTCACTCAACAACCAGGGGAGTCCCCCGGGGACTACTATGAGAGATTATGTAAAGTCTACAGGATATACACTCCATTTGACCCTGAGGCACAGGAAAGCCAGCAGATGGTAAGCACCTCCTTCGTGGCTCAGGCTGCCCCAGACATCAGAAAACTTCAGAAACTAGAGGGTTTCGCCAGGATGAACATCCCCCAACTAATAGACATTGCCAATAAGGTCTCCATGAACAGGGAGGTCACAGCCAAATGGGAAGCCGACAAAAAGATGAAAAAGAAAGTCAGCCTCCTGGCCGCCACCCTGAAAGAAAAGGACAACACAAAGACAGGGAGACCCCAACCAACGAAAGGGGGGAAACCCAGAACCCCCTTGGCAAGGGATCAATGTGCCTACTGTAAGGAGAAAGGGCATTGGAAAAACGAATGTCCCAGCCAGGGAAAGGCTCAGAAGCCCAGCCGCTACAAGGAAGAACCCCGAGAGGAGGACCTCATAGGCCTTGCGGGAACAGACTCAGACTGAGGGGGACCGGGCTCTGTCCTCCTTGGCCCCCGTGAGCCCACACAGAATGAAAGTAGGGGACCAACCAGTGACGTTTATGGTTGATACTGGGGCCAAGCACTCTATTGTCACCTCCCCAGTGGCCCCTTTCAGCAAAAGGACTGCGACCATCCTTGGGGCCACCGGGGCTTGGATGATACAGCAGCCCTTTTGCCAGGCTCACCAGTGCGAACTCGGGGGCCACAAGGTCCGACATGAATTCCTTTATCTGCCTGATTGCCCCATCCCTCTCCTGGGCCGAGGCATACTCTCCAAGCTTGGGGCTCAGATAACCTTTGAGCCCACTGGACATACTAGCCTCTGGTTGAACCCAAGGCCAGAGGAGACGGGGTC